TGCGACAGCATTATTAATGTCCTACGCTCCATTTGGGATTCCCCAAAATACAACAACAACAAAAATAAAGGAAAAAGGAAAGCAAACGAAACAAGTAGTGAGGACAAGTGGAGTCCACACTTCTCGCAAACTTTGCCACTGAAGAAAAATCAATTGATTGACTGCGATGGCCACACATTTTCTGCACTTTTGAACGCGCGTCACTAGAATTTTTTTTTCGACTTTCGAGATTATTATACGTTTTGGCATTCGCTTTTAGCGAGCTTTCTCCTCGAACGAAATCTCTCCTCTTGTCACACTTGATTTATTTTTGAAATTTTAATTTTTCCTCATTGGTTTTTATTTGATTTTCTTTGTATTCCTTTTCGGCATTTTCTCACGATTTTTTCGCGCACACATTTATATTAGTAATTTTTTTGGCACTTTTCACACGACTTTCTCAAGGAGTTGCTGTTGACGATGACTGACTGACTGACCGACTAACCAATTGACTCAGTGACTAACTGACCAACTGAATGGCGACTGAAACGAGTCAAAACGAACCGCGAAACGCGCATCAAGTATACGCCATGTGCCACACACGAGATCTCACGGCACCCACCATACGTTGCAGCTCAGCTGGCAGGCGGTCAGAGATGACAATTTAGCGTTTTTCTTGTCTAATTCGGCTTGAAACTATTTTAATGATATTGTCAAGTACATATTCAGATATAACAAAAACTGGTTTCTTTGAATTTAATTTGAATTTAATATCCTTTTCTTTCTAACATTCTTTAATATTTCCCACACTAAACTGTTCAAAACTCACGCCACGAAATGAATCGGAACAAAGGATCGTTCTGTAGCGTACCGGCCGTGACGTTCAAATTTGGAATAAATAAAAATTTGTTTCAAATGGCTTGCCTGCACTTGTATTTATAGGTTTCAACGAAAACCGAAGCAAGCCGAAGGCTGCTAAATGGGCTCTCCCCACAGCCGAGAGAGAGAGAGAGAGAGAGTGGTGTGGTGAACAAGTCCAACAGCTGATGGCCAAATTCAACACCTCTATAAGACGGAAGCAGGGGCTGTGGGTCAGAATATTGCGCATACGCCAAGAGGGATGGCATGTAAAAGAAAATAATATAAATAGATAAATTAAAATAATAATAATAATAAAGGCTTATTTTTTGCAAAAAGAAAAATCAGTTAAAACTATAACTTTCTGTGCAAGTCTGACTTTAAAAATCGAACGATGAAATCAGCCTTAGATTCGTTATCCCACAGTTTCCTTAAACCATTCTTGAAGACCCCCCCCCTCAACAGCTCCATTTTTTATGGACCCTTTGAATTTAAAAAAATGTTTAGTTTAACACCCATTCAAACTTATTAAATGCTCATTATTTATGGCCATTTGGTTGTGGAGAACGGGACAACAGTTTATGAAAAGCATATGGATTCTTTTGTATGGTATTTTGCCGAAGGACGACGTCTGCTAAAGGATATCTCCCTGTCCTACTTGGTCTGCTTCCCATAGTCTGGATTTCGATGACCGCCACCGCCTTGACCAGTCATGAATATAAATTATGCCCTAAGTGACAGGAGGAAGCCGCTGCCGTTGTTATGGCTAAACAATCATAAAGAACACCCGGCACGAATTGTTTTCAGATCTTTTATACATAGTTGTTGGCAAAACGAAAGGCGAGAGTTTGGGAAAAATATGAAAACATAATTCAGCATACTTTTTTTATTAACTGCTAAAAGATTTCGGGGCTTGTGAATCAAAGAGAGGTTTTAAATTTGGTATTTGGAGGGATTTTTCTAAATAAATTTTATGAGTTTTAAATTATGTGTTTGGCTATGTTAGGTTAATTCTGTTTTGTTTTATGAAACTGTTGTGTTTATGCAAATAATCTTAATGGCAGCTATAGTCGATTGGCATAAAATTAGACCTACAATTTTAAAACAATACATAATGGCTATATCTCAAAGTAGATAAGAATATATTGAAAAACGAAAAAGTTATAGTTATTTTATAAACTTAATATGAATAAGGCTGTTGAAGTGGTTGTGATCTTAGATCGCTGGCTGACGAAAGTTGCTTAGTATGACACTTGGATCGGGCGGATTTAAATTTATATTTTCATATTAGTAAAATTTCTTGTATCTAGTTAAAATTAGCATATCCATGCAGGGTATTCTAACTTTAATCACAAGCTCAAAACAATGTGTAAGAGTCATTTCCGATACTATAAACCATATATATTCTTGATCAGCATAAAAATCTGCGTCGATCTAGATTACTACGGGCAAAAAATATTTTCATCAAAATTTTTCCAAAATTCGAATAAAAGATAAGGGGTACACATGCAAAAATTGTCTAAAAATTGAAATTTTAAATTTGTTTAATTTAGTATGCAGATTTGTTAAGCTAATAAAAACTAGCACAGAACAGCTTTCCGAATTGAATTTAACGCTTGTTTGGCTTAGTTATGAGTATTTTAGGATTTGATTAATCGAAGAATTTGTCTCATAAAAATTAAGATAAAAATGTATTAAAGTAAAGCGAATATTTAAAAATTAGTTATGGTAGTTTTCATAAACGATCCTATAATTCAATTTCAAGCTCCAAGGGAAATTGCATTTTTGTTTCCGAAGTTAGTTTCCCCTTTTTTTTGTTCATGTGAATATTTTCGAGATTAAATTTAAATAACCGTGACAAAACAAAAAATAAGATTCGCTTACAATTTATTATTCAATACTATTAAAAGCAAAACACTTTCTTCAACTAAGCCCAAAAGTATGTTAAATGTGGCACTAAACATATGACGTTTTAATGGGACAAACGCACTACCAAATTACACCCGTTAAAAGGCATCAATTGGCCCCAGAGTAACGGAGATTTTCATGGTGTTTTTTTGGTCTTAAATCTTCGGTTTCGTCTTCATTGGCCAATCCAACAAGGCCGAAAAAAAGCCCAGCCTCTAATTAAACCTTTCGCAATTGCAGAGCCCAGCTTAGGCCCTAAAATGGCCCGGAGGGCGGGAGTGTGCGTTTCGATTTTAGTTTTAAAGAGAGAAGAAGAAAACAAAAAATAAACTAAACCTGGGGCACCTTGGGAGTTTTAGGTTTTGATTAATGAGCGGCTTAAGTGAATCTCGAGTCGCGGCGCAGCGAATCTCCGACGAGCCTGTTCGACTGATGAAGTCACTAATTTGACTTAAAAACGCATTAAAAACCATTTTCGATAAGAGCTCCCCTTCCCAATGCATGATTTCGGCCAAGGGTTTTCCCGTACTTTCCTGGCCGTCTCGCGGTCTAGGTCGTATTTGTGAAAGTTGTGCAAAAAAAAAATAATAATCCAAAAAGGCCAACAAACAAAAACAAATACTGACAAAAAACCAAAATTAAACGAAAAAAACCAACCAGCAACAGCAAAGGCGACGAATAAAATTCCAAAAAAATAAACGCCTCGAAAGATTTGAGAGTGCAAAGCTCTTGCTTTATGGGACATAGCCTATTGGCAATCAGCTGTGAACATAAATAATGATTGCGATTTTTGATATAGACTAGAGAGATACCCTTTATATATGGCAGAAGAAAACTGGTATAATTTTATGGCAAAGTTTTTAATTTATAAAATATCTTAATTATCTACCAAGCTGTAGGAATAGAAGGTAAACAAAGGTAATAAATATAAAACTTAGCACTTTCGCAGATTTAACTTTATTAATTTATTCTATTAATATTATACTTCGTCTAACGGAAACTTAGGAAACTAAAATATTTGATAAAATATTTGTAGTATTTATATTAATAAATATATGTGGATATAATAATATTTTATTTTGTTTATAGGCATAGCTTCTGACTTATGCCTGTTCATCGAATTCATTATTTATTTCCCAATAATTATAATACACCTAAATCCTTATTGAAATATTTTTTTCACACCTTTACTTATCTTAAACCTTATCAAATTAATCAATTACTAAACAAATCTACCCCTGTCTAAATATTACATTTTCTCTTCAGCTTTGGCAAACGCACATAAATTGATTTAAATGCCTTCCGAGCAGAGACAAAAGATGGCCAGCAAAGGCTGAAAGGTAACTCCTACAATTGTGCGTGGTCTTGGCCATTAAAAGATATTTTTTTTGTATTTTTGCTTGCCAATGTCTGGGCCAAAAAAAGCAACGGCAGCCGTCACAAAAATACAAAAAAAATCTGAGACAGATAAAAGCTGTTAAATGACCTTCATTGGCCATAAAAATCCAAAATCATGAGCCCCAAACAATGAATCGTATCTATGGGCAAAAAAAAGAAAAACCCGCATGGGCAAAATTAACAATTTAAATAAATTCACTTTATTGCAGTTTCGCATATTGGCGACAATGTAAAACAAACAATAAAGGTTGTCAATAAATAAAACCCGGCTCATTGTCTGCCCCATAGCATTCGACTTCCGGTCTTGATTCGGGCCACAAACCAAATAGGGGAAAAAAAATGCGCAAAACCGATCAGATCCGATATTATGCTATATATGAATCACACTACACAAAGTTCAAAGTTGAGCGGGGTTTAAATTGAGAGATTAGCCCTCAGCCGGCATTACTCTTTGCTTCGATTTTGGATTTTGTTTTAAGCACACACGCTCGCAGAGCTCTCACTTCTGGGCCCAGAGCTCGGCTCGGCTAGCCTGGCTTAGACCGCTGCTCAGTTGGCTACGAGCTGCTGCCGTGAGCATTGGCTAACGCGAGAAACGGAACAAAGAAACAAAAATTACAAACCAAAAAAAAAGAAGTCGAAAATCAAAACCGAAAACCGAAAACCGAAATTGTATACACCGCGACGCTCTGTGGAACGTGTTAAGTTTTTTAATTAGTAGAATTTTCAAGTGAGTTGTGTGTGAGGCAAAATAAATACACACACACACACACAGGAAAAGAGAAAATAATTCAGCAAAATAAATATACAAAATTATACAACAAAAATAAAAGGCAAACAAGTGCAGTGACAAAAAGTTCAGTTAATGGTGAGCCAAAAGCCAGGTAAAACAAAAGCCAGGCAACAAAACACAAAAGCTGGTGAGTAATTAATAAAGCGAATAATTTAATCTACTCTCGCTACTCTGCCATAAATTAATAAATTTAATTAATCTGTCAGCGCAGCAGTTGCAGAGTCACATCTCAGGTCTGATTTATTATAACATTTTATCTATCGATATATATACTACCTTCAAGTATGTATGTTTTCTGTAACCAAAATGTTAGGAAATAAACCAAGATAAATGAAATCAAGGCGCTCACAAAACAAAATCCACGAAAATGCAGACAACACTTTTGGGTACAAAATAAAAACAAAATGCATATAAAAAATGGGTAGTGGCCTTGAAAAGTCGTGCTTAATTTCTCAGCTAAACTCAGCAGGCATTAAATATATGTTTAAAAAATTATAATGAAGCCGTATTAGCCATTTGGCATCTATTGTTTTATTCCCTGACTAAAATTGATATCACACTGAGATACTTTGGATTGTTATCAGGCTAAATTCCAATATAAACAAAGAGGAAATCATTATGAAAAGGTCTTAAGAGTGATTCAGTTTTAATATTTCAACAAAGTTTTAATGAAACTAAATTGTACTTTTATTTTAATACATTTTTATAAAGCCTTTGTCTTTTGATTAATAATTGGTAACAAAAATAGAGTTTAAATATAAAATTTAGGAACATCGGAGAGAAATTATCAAGGCATAAAATTCTTATGACATTTTATTATTATTTTTATTAATCAGCATTAAGCATTTTAATTAGCATCATAATAAATTAGCCGCATTTCAAGTTCAGCTTTTTATTTTCTGCAAATATTTCAATTAGGCAAACGATTTGTAAACTCATCTCTCTTTGAACAAAAAATTTCGAATCTCGTGAATAATTGAGAAGAATGTCTGAGACAAAGATAAAGATCCGACAATCGATCATTACTCAGACGACGCATACAAATAATCAATTAAATATAGCTAGATGACTTTTTTCTGTGGCCAAATCATTCAAATAAATTGAATAGGGCCCGGTGATTTTGAGCACTCAATTTGGGGGCCCCAAAAAAAAAAAAAAATAAAGAGAGACCGGGCCAAAATGATGCCGCGGCCAATGGATTAGCCGTTGGCCCAAAACCAAGATCTTTAACAATTTCATTAACTTTTTTGGCCCGAACGGCCTAATGATGTGCAAATGGCCCAAAACACACCATAAAACACACTCGCACTAAAAAGATTGCTAAGACTTTTGGCCTGTCTCCGACTTTACCAACTTCTTTTTTCGGCCACATTTTATGATTTATGAGGTGATCGCGCCTGGCGCAACATTGGCACCATCGGGGAAATACCATTAATACGTGGGTGTAGCCAATGTGCAAGACTCCATTAGCATCCATCGCCAAAAGCCAAACACACAATAGCCATGTTTCAGGCACTGAGAAGAAAAAGGAAATATGTACATATTCACTAATATTCACATATTTATATTTACACCTTTTAAGTTGCGTCCAAATTGAATAATTTCCATAGTTTTCTTCCTTAGAATTAACATTGTGAATATATTCTTTTGTTCCTCGACATTATACCTAGATATTATATATTTTTTCAATAGTTTATTTGTCATTATTTAGGAAGAACACGATTTGTTTTCCTAAATTTAAAACTATTACTTGACCGAAGAAATGCAACTTATAAATAAAATCCCGAATGTTTCGCATTTTAATAAGCTATTTTATTTATTTTCTAAAAATAACATTCTCCTTATTTAATCAATATAATCACCACAATAGTTCATTTACCTGCACATACTTTTCAATCATTTTAATTGTTATCTTGAAGCTAAGCTCCTTAATTGTTTTCTGTGTACTTTACCCAGACACTTTGTCATTGGCGGTGGATTGTTGACTGATTTGTTTTGCTTGAAACTGGCCAAAAGAGCCTGTGATCCCGGAAATCCTATCGCCGCTCGTGGCAGGTGTTTATTTTATTATTTCTATGAGCATAAATTCTTAAGAATTCTTTTAACAACTTGCTGGTTTTTTACTGGCCTTCAATGGCATGCTATTAATTGTTGAATTGTTGTTGCCGTTTGTCTGTGTTCTATAAATAATTGTGTTATACATTTTTATAATGAAACTAAAGCAAAAGCCTGACACGAAATCCGGTTATTACCATCGAGAGTGTGACAGCGTTTGATTTGATCACTTGTAGCAGCACATTAACACAATAAAGCATTATAATATATATATTTGGGATTTTTTTCCTCTAACAGTACCTTATTATTTTATTTAACACTTTGTTGAAACCTAAAATTGTTTAAATAATAGTGCGATTTTGCTATAATGCATTGTTAAGGATTTCAATTTAATTCTTAATAATGTATTTGTATTTGATTGATAGCAATATCATTTAATATTTCAAAATAATTATAGTATTGGTCTTAAATTCCATTTAAAACAAGTTAAATCTTTTAGTTTTTTTAGATCTGCCTTAAACTAATGTTAATTAGTTGCCCCATTTTATTCATAATAAATGCTCATTGGTTGATTGCTCTACTTTAAAGACATGTATGAGGTGCTAATAAATCATTAGAGTTAATAAAAATGAGAGGAAGGTTTTACTTTATTTGCTTCTAATTTGTTGTGTGTTTTTATTAGACCACACATTTTCACAATTTATTTTCTGCACCTTAAAACCGTAATAGAAATGTTTAATAATATAAAGATATCCTAAGTAATTACCCCAAAAAAATAGTGCAGAGATTATTGAATGATATTAAGTATAGTAACATGATTAGCTTAATTAATTTAATTATTACAGAGATAGACGACCTTTTTGTATATTTATAAATTATTTTTTAGGTACTTTACATTTTAATAAAATCAAAAAATCCGTTTAAAATTCACTGGGAAAGTTCCACTTTTTTGCCTCTGATTTCCGGCCGCTGATAGCCGGGTTAGGAACGCTAATAAATCATTAGAGTTTATAAATATTGCCATTAGCCGACAGTTAACTCGGGTTGCCAATTGAGAACGCCCCCGGCAGTGGCTGTGGGCGTGACCAGTCCATTATCTGCGGTGGCGTATACTTAATCTACGTATACTTAATATACGTATACTTAATCTCGTTGTCGTTGTCTTGCTGCTGTTCGTCACTTTCACTTTTGGCAATTTATTTTCGCCATTTACGGGGAGTTGTTCGAGTTGTTTTCGGTGTTGTGTTTGCATTTGTGTATTGTCTGTCGGTGTTGTGTGTTGGTTGGTGTTTATGTTATTGTTTTACTTACCGATTGTTTGTCTTAACAATAAGCTCAAGTGAACTCCATGTCGTGTTTTGGGTCGAAAAAGAAAAAAACAAAACAGGCGAACAAACACTTGGGACATTTCCTGTGCGCGGAAAAGCCAACAAGAAAATTAGTTTGTCTGTTTTTCTGAGGTCCCTCTCTGTGGAAATGGTGTGAAAAGTGTTAAGCACTTGCTATTTGTTTTTACGTCTTTTGCCTAAAATGACACTAGTCTAGTTGATTAGTACTTGGCGGTTATTCAAAGTATTTATGCAATATAACCTGAAGTTAGCTAATAACTAACAGACTTCCTTAATTACGAAAGAGAATTAATATTTAAATAAATAGGAGTTATTAGTTAATAATATGTTTTTGTAAGTTCTTTTGGTGGTTTATTTCAACTATTATTATTTTAATTGATCTAATTTAAATAATCAACGAAATAATTTAAAATAGTTCCTAATAAGACCAAGTCAAATTTGCATCAGATTTATAAACAATGACTTGTAACTTTTGTAACACAACACGTATCCGAGAGCTGCCTGGCAGAAGTCACTTCGTTCCGGGGTGGTTAGAACCAGTTGGGAATCATATGTACAGATGTCCGAGATCTGTTTTGGCACAAAGTGCAAGCTATTTGAATGAAACTATGCAGTTAATCTTCTATATAATTTTACTGTTATATAAGTCGGAGCATGCCGAATCGGATGACTATATATATACATATATATAGCCGACATAGGAACAATCGGATGACTTATAGAACTCTGATCAGTAATTAACTATGATCAGTAATTAGCTATGAGCAGTGAGTAACTCTGAACACTAAGTATCTAAGATCAGTAATTAACTATGAGCATTAAGTAACTATAAGTAGTAAGTAACTTTGAACAATAAGTATTTATGATCACTTACTAACTTTGAACACTAATAAACAATGACTTGCAACTTTTGTAACACAACACATATCCGAGACCTGCCTGGCAGAAGTCACTTCGTTCCGGGGATGTTAGAACTAGTTGGGAATCATATGCACTGATGTGCGAGATTTGTTTTGGAACAAGTTTAAGCTATTTGACTGAAACTATGGAGTAATTCTTTTATATAATTTCACTAGTATATAAGTCGGCGCATGGCAAATCGGTGGACTATATTTATACTTATATATATATGACCAAATAGGAACAATCGGACGATTTATAGAACAAATATAATCAATTTCATATTTATCAACTTATTTTAAGCTAATTTGAGGTTTATTATTATAGAATTATGGTATTAGTTCTATGAAAATCGGAGGACTATATCCTATAGCTGCCTTGGGAACGATCTGACAAATAAAGCTTATTTTATTAATTTTATTTATTAAAGAAATGTGTATTCTTAATTTTTAGCCTCAATAATAAGTGTTATTCATGACAGTTTCTCTTTGATTTCAGATTAAAGACATTTGCTGAATCGCAATCGAGTCGAATGCAAATGCAAATCGACGGCGAATGAATTGACAATGACAAAGAGTATTAAATGGTCGCCCGCTTTTAGTTGTAACCGCGTTCTCCTTACCTATGTGGTAAGTACTTTTAATTATTTATTCTTTAACATTTATAATTAGTTTAATTTTAATAATATTCTCCAGATATTAACTTATACAGTAGCAGCCCACAGCTCGCCACCGCCATGCGGCCTTTATGGAGCGCCGCCTTGCCAATTTTTACCGGCGCCCCCAGGCCAAACTCCAACCTGTGCTCGGCCAGGAAAAACGTATTGCGAGCATGCCGATAATTATCCCACGTAAGTAGGATATATACATACATTATATAACCAAGGAGATCCTATAGAAGACCCTTATAGAGTTTCACAGAAATCTCTAGAGAAACCAGAGTAGTTTGTCTTCATTTTCTAGCATTTTCTTGAATCAATTTGAAACAACTAATGGGAGTGTCAAGTTTCACTTGATATTATAACATTTTAAAAGACCTTTGAGTTGCCCAAATACCATAAATACAATTTATAAATGATAGAATTTAATAAAGACCAGATAACTGCAGGTTTCAGAGATAATCTAACTAAAATACAACATCATTATTAGGCGATGTCTGTCCAAGTTCACTGCAAAATCATACATCGTCCGTCCAATCAATTTCCACTTCATTCGACTTCGACTGCATTTCAAACAAATGTTTGTTACGGCCACGAGACAATTTCAACTTCAATCTGAATTCGCTATCGAAATCGAAACTTGTTCCCATTAGCATAGCGTGAGTGTCTATTGTGGTTGCTTCCGCGACGATACTCGACTCTGCAGATGCTTCGAGCTACTCAGAGATACTCAGATACTCAGATACTCAGATACTCAGATACTCAGATACTCAGATACTCAGATACTCAGATACTGAGATACTCGATGCTCGGCTCTCGCCACTCGACTCTCAGCCAGCTGGGGGAATTCCTTGACCCAATAAACTTGAATTGACAGTTCAAGACACTTTGTGTTTGGCTCCGGCTTCACTACTACTACCACTACCAAAAAATAAAAACTTTGGCTAGAGATACGAAATCCAAAGACGACTGACCGCGTGCTTCTCGAATATTTATGAATGCCTCCAATGAATAATCGTGTCTTCGGGGCATCATAAGTTGCCCAGACCGGCACTTGGCGCGTGAGCTAGGGTATTGCGGATATTCACAAATATTTGTACATGATTTTATTATGCATATTGTATAAATTAGGTAAATACCAAAAACAAGTACCTTAAAGCAGTTCTTTAATTAGGAAATTAGGAAAACGAGCTGGGAAAATATTATTTGGAAAGCTATTTTAAAATAATGTATCTTACGAATATATTAAACATTTAAATTACGTCAAATGTTTGCCTCTTTCAAAATAAAAAAAGTATAAATCTTTTAAATAAATATTTTTATAAAATATTTCCCTCCATTAAAAAAAATATCTTAGTTAATAATATATAATTTATAAGTATAACCAATTCAACTTTTATTGTATCCAAACAGTAATTATTATGATGGCCAGGTTATGATAAAGCACAGAGCTCTGCTAAATGCGGTTTGTTTAATGAATCATTAATTAAACCATGAAAAAAAATTAATAAAGGCAAAATAATTACAACAATAAAGAGTAATTAATAATGGTATAATAAAGACTTAGTCATTTGCATTATCAGCATTTTAATTGAGTTGTATCAGAATATTCTTTATTAAAATTGAATTTATGTATAGAAGATAAAATAAATGTTACTCCAAAAATTATATCGAAACCTGTAAAAAAATAGCAATATTACTCTTAAATTAACAAAAATATGGATTTACAATTTTAATAAATAATTTAAAAACAATCAGCTTTACTTTTAGCCTTCGCAAAACAAACAGATACGATAAGACCCTTTATACCTTATACCCAATTTCTTAATTAACAAAACAAACTTCACTACTTTTAAAATATTTATATAAATTTTATTTTATATATTTAAAAAATATACTTATATTTTCTTGATAAAAGAGCATTCAATCTTCCCCAAAGTGAGTCAAAAAAACTGCATCTTTCTTGTCTTACGTGCTCCCAAAGATGGCACTCGAATTTGTTGTTTTGTTTGTTTGTTTATCAACCATCCGCCTTCGCTGGACTGGTTAGCCATGTTTTTATCGTGTCTGCTATTTTTAGAGAATTTCTTCGATCAATTTTTCGTTTTGTATTTAAATAAAATGTGCGTTAGTGCGGTAATGGTAATGCGAATGGGCTTGTGATAAGCCCTCGGCGCCGTCGAGGCAATTAAATAGGCATTTTTATTACAAGGCTTGCATTGGAATTTCTGTGCGTTGCATAATTCTCTTTAAAAAAAAAATAAGATATCATATGGGAAAGCCCAAAGCTGGTTTTAACCATAGGTGTGCCCTCCTCTCCTCGTAACCCTCACCTTTTCTTTTCACTGACTGTGTTTTTCACGGCGGCACGTGACGGGCATGCGATACGCGTTGATAAGCGAAACAATATAATTTCGGCGGCACTGCCAATTTATTATTTACGATGTCTGCACCTACCAATTCGGAGGCTTCAATTTTTCTGGCCTGCCCCGAAGCCGCATATTAATTATGATACTCATATTTGATTTGGCTTGAGCAACACCGCAATTACCATTTCCATGACGGCGATATCCAGGCACTTGTCAGTCAGCCACTCAGTCACTCTGTGTGTGACTTGCATAAGTCGGATGATGAGCAGACAAGTGCATGATATTCGCTTTCCCAGATTGTTAATCATCATCTCTTGCATCACGCATTGTTTTCTTCTTATACGCAGAAAAGATGAGCAGAGAAAATCAGGTCGTTTTCCATCGGTAATTAAAAGATACAAGCTAAGGGAGATACAAGATACTTAGGATCAGCCAGAAAGATTTTATAGAAAATATAAAGAATTAATCTATGATATTTATATTTTTTTATTTAATAATACTTTCCATTGTTTATTTATCCAAAACAACTCAGTTCAAAACGTTTTATTAAAATCTTTTTATTAACACCAACATAAATAAAACTATATAGATAAATCTAATAAATATAACAAATGTCATTCTATTTTGATTAAATAAATATTAATGCCAGGCAATAAACATTTATTGTGATCTCTATTGTGTTTTAATGATTATCCATTTGATTATTAGTTCTTCGATTACCATTTAAGATATATTTTTATTGCTTTGCCATGAATATTCATTTGATTATTTGCAAAATTTGTTTTGCAGTTCGCTGTTTTTCAAAATATTTTCTTTTATTCAATGATGTAGGCATTTTATATTACTTCAGAATTTTTAATTTTTAATTTAATGCAAATCGGATGATTAAATCATGTAGCTGTTATAGAAATGATCATTAAATGTAGAGGAAAATTCTAATCTGTGAATATAAAAGCTGTAAATATAGTAGTACAGGTATTTAAAGCAGAGTACCAAAAAATTACGTATACGCACTGGTGTAATAATAATTCAGAAAACAAAAGGGAGTTACTTTTACCTTTTCTTTCTTTTCATAATCTTATTAATATAAATTAATAACAAGAAAGGAAGCGATCTTAGCTATACCTACTTTGGTATATTTATACATATTTGATAATTTGTAGGTAAATCTAAGGTTTTGACATATCATAACTCAGCCAAAAATTCATTAAATTCAATTCATAAAGCTGTTCTGTGCTAGTTTTTATTAGATTAACTAATCTGCATACTACATTTAACAATATAAAAATTCAATTTTTTGCAAATTTTTGAAAATTTCAATGATTAGCTTATCTTATCATTTTTTTTTTTTTTTTTGAAAATTTTATTTTTCTACCGGACATGACTAGATCGATTCAGCCGATCATGCTGATCAAGAATATATATAGTTTATAGGGTCGGAAATGACTCCTTCGATGTGTTTAAAGCTTCTGACTGAAATTCTTAACTCTGAATTGGTATAAATATGTAGCTTAACTCAGGGTAATTAAATTTAAGTAATAGGGTTCGAGGTAATAAGGTAATTAGTTGGACACAAACAGCTGATTATAACCCTAGGCCTAATTCCTAATATATTATAATTATAATTATCATGGTTAAGACTTACCCCAGTAGAGGCCACTCGGTTCTTCTTCTTCGTCATTGCTTCAACTAGGGCTGTCATCGTATCATCGTAGTTCTTCTTCTTCCTGTTTATCCAGATACATTTCATTGGCCGGGTGATGTCGAAGGGCAAGTCACTATCACTGCTTCTATCACCATCGATGTTACCACTGGGAAGGCCACGCACAGACTGAGGCCAGCGAGGGGGTAGCGCCTCTATTTATACTCCCCGAGCGAGAGAACAACAGAGAAAGTATGAGCGAGAGCTCGAGAGAGTTACCTCTAGAGAGGCAGCGAGAGCTAGAGGGAAAGAGTTAGTTCTAATGATGCACAGAGTCAAATGGAGAGGGACATGCTTGGAGAGAGTTGGAGAGAAAGGGTTATCTATACACATGCACAGAGAGGGATAGAGAGTTCTTATTTCTTAATTGTTTAATTGCTTGAATTATTCTTTTTAAATTCTTATAATTACTTAAATAAATATTTGTACAATTTTTATATATATAATTATATTTATTTATTATTTATTATTATTATTTTTTAATTTATAATTATTTATTAATTATTATTATTTATAATTATTTTTTTAAGGTATCTCATCAAGAGCCTTGTCCGGAAGTGGGGCTATGAGGCAGCCACTCTCTTGGTGGATGAAACCTGGGAGGATTTCGCCGCTGTGGCGTGGCACGATACTCCCGTCTTTTATGATCCCAAATCGATATTTCCGCCACGCGATCCCAATGGCCAGGACTTTAATGGCTATAGCTATCAGACGCCCTTTGGAGGCAATCCCCATCGACCAAGTGGCGGTGGCAATTCTCTCTTCGCCAGCAGTCCATCGACGGAGGCACCAACGTGAGCCACAATTAATTAAATATTTATATATCATTTTTAACTTTTACTGATACTCCCTTAATCCCTTAGGTATCTCCTTTACACCTCCTCTGGCGGTGGTCATCGTCCAGGTGGTCGCTACAATATCCCCGGAGGCACCTCCTCCTCATCTGCCGCCGGTGGCTTGTACTTCAATCAAGGCGGCAAATCCACGCCCTACAATGCCACACTTTGGCTCAAACGTTTGGTCAGGGATCTCAGTCGGAAGCAGAGGCAAACCATCGGTGATGAGGAAGTAGAGGAGGAAGTGGTCGAGCAGGAGGAGGAGGAGGCGGAGGAGTACGACGAGCCTGATCAGGGTCAGGAGGAGCACGGGCAAAGCAAGCGCGATGTCTCGCTCAATATGGATCTCTTGGATATCGTGGGCGTGGATGGCCCCAATCCCCATAGCCAGCAGAAGAGGAGGCGCACCAAGCGCCAGAGTCCCGGACGTTCCACGCTCTGCCAGACCACGTCGCAGTTCATCACGCCGCAGGCAGCACTCAACAGTCGCGGCAACTGGATGTTCGTGGTCAACGAGCAGAACACCGCCCGCCAGATGGTTAAGGCGGAACTGTGCGCGTAAGTATTACCACAAGTCTTTGGATTAATTAAGACATTTTTTATTGCGAACAAGGGATGCTGATTAATTGGGAGAAAAATTAAGGAAGCAATAAATATTCTTTCTTTTTATAATAATTTGTTTAGAGGAATTGTTACCATCTGGTGGAATTAATTATTGAGAAATAATTAGAGAGGAGTTATAATTCCTTTAATATTTTCTATTTCTTTCCTTTTGTATATATTGTTTTAAGGCTTGGATATATATAATATATCCTCTATATACATTTTACACAACGATTTCAAGCAGTTCACTGCTTGCTGAATTTGTAGTCTGGTCTTAAACCTTTTGTAAACTGAATTTATGTTAAAAGTAGAATTCAAATATGTTTTTTTATATTTTTATTTTCATTTTATTTTCAATATAGATTTAATAAATGAAGTCTAAGATATAAAACAGAAAAAATCATAATTTCCCTCAGCAGTAAAAATTTACATTACATTTAAAGAATTAGGGATATACAATTTTTTTCAAGGTCCAAATATTATTTTGAAGTATTTTTATCTTCGTTTTTAAATGTTTTTTTTTTTATAGGAAAAGAATATTGAATTACTTCTTGTCGAGTTCAAAATAATATATTAAATTTTTTGTTAATTTTAGAAGACCTGCATTTAGATACATTTCTGGAACAGCTTCCATACTGTTTATCCTTGCCTCAAGATTAATATATTTATATTTTAAGTATATTTATATATAGGAATTGCTCTTCCTCCACTGTGATAATTCTTTTTAATGTCAAATTCTGAAATTCCTTTCTCTTGAAGGGGAAATTTAATTTAATCTGACAAGGTTTTAATAACATACTACTTTATGCTAGGAATACAATATAATACATTTTTAAAAGTTTTTAAAAATCTTCTAAAAATCCATTTACCTTTTACCTTTAAAGTACACCACCCCTTTTCAGTCCTCTCTTATTCGAATGCAATTCTATCAGTTTTTTTATTCTCTATCCTTCACGTTTCATAAATCATAACTCTAATTATTTGGCAGCATTAGAAGAGAGGGGGGATAAGCCAGTTGGTTTGACTTGTGCAGGCGACCGAGCGCGTCCTTGAAGTAGCTTCATTCCCACTCATTATTTTGAAACCTTCGGTTGAAATACACACACCCCTGGTCGTCCTGGTCGTCCTCCTGGTGGCCTTTCGGCACTTGTAATCAGCATCGAGGTGTTTCGTCAACCCCATTCCGGCGTTAATAATTCGCAGCGGGACGCTCAACGACGACGACGAGGTTTCCCCCTTCGATATTATATATATTTTTTTGTTGTGTATATTTGTGACTAGGGGAATTCCCCTGCCTGGATTTCTTGCCTTCTTGTGGGCACGTGGGTAGTGCAGGTCGAACTAAGGCCCGTTTATTCGGTGTCATAATTGCGGTTAAACGAATTATCACACCCCGAAAATGTGAGAGCGAAAATACCAAAGCAGGGCGCTCTAAATGCCATGTCCTTGTCCCCCTCCTGTTCGAGCGTCCTTCCCCTTTTTATTTTATATATAATTTTTTTGTATTTTTATACGATGCGTGCGCTACTCGAAAAACCTTTCCACACTCATCAGAAAAAGAGCAAACACAAAATGGGGAGGGGTTTGTGTTTCAGTTCCCGTTTCTGGTTCCACTGCTTCCTGATCCTTTTCGGCTGGGTCAAACGCATCGCCCTAATTGTCCTTTGGTTCCCCTGCCGCTGCCACTTGTTGGACTGAGTCCGGTACTTGGCGCAATTTGTTTAACCAAATGGAGGACCTACGCAGGCGCACATAAATCTTTGGTCCAAGAAGAACAGCTGGGAGCAGAGAGTACACAGGGGGAAAATTAAATTTTAAATGAAGTAGAAAGCTTCGGGTATTCATTTAAATATATATTAAGGGATAAAGAACATATCCTAGTTAGTAAACAAAAATAAGCAAAGATAACTCAGACCTTAGAGTGGTTTTTAAGCTTAAAAAACAGAGTGTTACTTTATATAGTTTAGGCTTAGCAACATCAGGAGTCCCTAGGTAAAATTCAAGGAATAATTTCCTGGTTTTAATAACACTTTCCTCTCAGTGCAGTGATTGTACCGTTTGCTTCCGCTCGGCCAGCGACTCCTTATCAATTACGTACGATTCCCGTTTTAACGAGTTCGTTAAACTTTCAACTCTGCTCCTTCTGCGACTCAAGATCTTGGGCTCCATTCCCCTTCCTTTATATGTATATATTTTATTTTGGAGTCACAGATGGAAGCGAAACGTAGCACCTTATTTATGTTGGCAACCCACAACTAAATTCGCCGCAAATTGTTGATTTTACCTTACTGAAATTCGATTCGATTCGACTCCGTTTGCATTCTTACCTTTCTTTCAGCTCGAACACCTGCTCGAACCTGTGCGAATTGCCCAACGGCTACAACTCGAGATGCGAGCAGAAGTTTGTGCAAAAACGCTTAATTGCGCTCCAGGGCAACGGGCAGAATCTGTACACGGACACGTTCTGGTTTCCCAGTTGCTGTGTCTGCACGATAGCCGCCAATTAAATGTGTCTCGTCCCAGGATATTATCACTTGGAGTCTCTATCTCACTGGACAAGGACATTACTGTCATATCTTGGCAGCAGCTTGTGAATTTTTGCAAATTCATTTCTGATAACTAAACGATACACAAAACAAAAGCATATAAACGAAACAAACACACACGACACAAAAACACAACAAAACCACACAAAACACCACTCTCTCATGTAGTTACACACACACACACACAATGTAGTTCTTAAAAATGTAATTTAAATCGGAAAACATCGAGTGAGGCATGCTAAATTGGATTTCATGCCCCGCAAATCCCTTTCAGTTTTGTTTAGTGGAACTAGCGTTACCCTGTGAGAGCGATTAAAAATGGATATTGAATAAACAATGATTCGAGAGACGATGTTTTCTTTACAATATATAAAAAAAAATCTTGTTTTTTTTTCAAGATTTATTAAAGGTTGGAGTATTTAAAGGTATTTATCAGAGGTAAGTATTAAGGTAAGTATTTAGTTATTATCCTATAAAAAGGTCTTAGTATTTATGCTTAATTATCTTTGCTTTTCACTCTTTTAATCTCTCTATAAATCTTGATAAAACCCCGCTTAAATATATTATTATTCCATGCAATTATTCATTCACTCTTATCTACCACAAAATCACACTTCATCACCTCTAAATTAATTAATTTAAATACATAAATTTAATTAAAACTTGGTGATTTAAAAATTGAGTTATTCCAGGACAATCATAATTCCATAAATCACATAAATCATCTCCCATCATTTCCATCTCCCCCGAAAAGGATTGTAAACACACATAATGACACTCGGCAAAGGAAGATTTTGTACACAACAATTTAATTGAGCCCCAGGCATAGAGTACAAATCGGATTTTGTGGTTTTTAATTAATATGGTTATACCTTTTTTGGCCGCTTTTGTGTGGCTAAAAGCTTACAAAAGGACACTCGCAACTTTTAATTGTGAAATTGTGAAAATGCGAAATGTGAATTTCCACAGAGCATCAACAACTAGAGTAGTAACAACAACACCTGCTGCTCTTGGCCTGCTGCAAATGCAATTGCGTTCCATAAATCCAGAAACAATAATCGTAAAATAACATCAAGTGTCACGCGCACGGAATCGCGGCTCAAAAAAAAGGGGGCCATTTCATGCGAGGACTTTTGGATTCCAGAATTCTGAGGGGTAGGGGAATGACAGTTCTCGGAGGATATGGAAACGGAGCAGTCTTTCTGATTGTATTGATGACCCGATGCTATATAACCCGATGATGTATGCCCCGGCATATGTATGTATATTTGTGTGGCACTAAAAACAACTCCAGATGGCCGCAGTTGGTGACAGGATATAAGAACAGGCACAGCTGGAGGATACTGAATTACCAAATAATTATGGTTTTTATAGATTTAGGAGAAGCGGATATTCTAGGATTTATGGAAGCGGATTTTGGTTCATTCTAAGATTTAAAAGTAGTTAAATTTTGAAAATAAACGATGGAATTAATGTAGAAAATATTTTTCCTTTAAAGACAGAACCCTAAGTAGATACAAAAATTATTCATAAGCATAGAAAGTTAACTTTGCTTTTAAGAGCTACATATTTAACCTCTTCTTTTTGGTCTTAAAGACCGCTCAGTCTCTTGAAGATATATCCTAACCAATTTCTTTAATATGTTCTACTTTTTAAAATATATAAGGATAAAATCAATTGGATAGGGGTCACTGGCTAGCTCCACCCTCACACATTTAACTTGCTCTTTAATAAGTGCACCTCGTAAATAAATATAGCTTAGCTATTTTCCCATTTGAAAGGAAAAGCCACGTGAATTTCAGGTTGTTCCATAATTTAGCTTTGGTTATATCATAAGCAATATTCTGATGTATATATATCATGTCCCAGGTGAGATGATAAATAAATAGAGAACATTTGCTGCCAGGTTGTGCAATATTTCACCGCATTGCATAACTAAGCAAAGAAATAACAAATGTATTGATAAGTCAGAGTTCGAAGTTCGAGTTAGCATTGGCCGAAAATCTAAATTAAGCCGAAGGAGCAACAGCCTCTCGCTCACGTTCTGTGTCCTGTGTCCTGTGATGTCCTGTGCTTTGTACCTGTTGTGGAAATTCAGCTGCCAGCGATTCAAACTGGCACAGTGGGACGGAATCCTGAAACCCACCCACTGAGCTCTATTGAGACTCATCTCACACCCCGTGACTCTGTCGAGGGTTAATTTGTCCTGGCGAAGGATATATATTTAAGAGGGAAAGAGAGTGAGAGAGATCGAGCAAAAAGAGAGAGAGAGAGAGAGAGTGAGAGGGGACTTGGTGTATTGTGCAGAGTTTTAGCAATGATTAGCATCACGAAATGGAAAACTATTGTTCCAATACGCAGTCGAGGAACCAGGTAAAAAGGCATTGACAAATCAGGTAAGAATGCCGTCACAAAACAGAAATCAGAAAAAATAACAAAACAAGGGAAAGGGAGGGAAAGGGAAATAAGAAGGAGAAGGAGAAATTGTTGCAATTAAAATTTAAGCCCTGAAAGGCAATAATAATAAGGAATAGTTACGGAATGAGGTTTGGAAAAGGATTCAAAGATATAAAAGTAAGAAATGTTAGTAGATAAAATAGTAAATTAAATATGTATATTACCTTAACTTAACTATATTAATAAATATTACATTAATTAACAACAATAAAGACTGTTGAATTCAAAACAAAGCCTGCAAAAGTCAAAGAAACGTTTAAAATTGTGAAATACGAATAAATCAGATATCTCAAACATTTCCTTTTAAAAATACCTCAATAAATTAATTTTTTTTCCACTTTCGACGGGCTTTAAAAAATCAGCATCCCGCCTGGGGAAACCTTTAACTTTTTAGGTTACAACAACTATTCACAGGCTCCTCTAAGGACGGTCAATGTCCAGTTGCCGATCCCCCTTCTCCTTCCCTGCTTAGCCCCCTGCTGACCTCTCTCTCTCTCTCTCTCTCTCTCTCTCCACCTTGAAACCCCCCGAAAAACCCCCGTAAAAATCGAGCAGCTGAAATTTTCTGCCAAGTCCAACAAATAGAAAGAGAGGGCTGCCTGACAACTGAGAGATGTGAAAGAGATGGCCTGCTACATGCTGCAGAATGAGGCACACAAAAACAACAACAAGAACAGCCACACAGCAAACACACACACACACAATGCAGCAGCAGCAGCAGCGCTGCGTTGTGTATAAAAATTTAACATCTGCTCCTTTCATGATTTCGGAAAACTCAAAACTCGTACAACAACGATGAGGGCTGTAATGGCACAAATATATAAATATGTGAGTATATTGGTCTCTCTATCCCTCTCATTCTGCACTGAGAAGAATTTTTAATTATTTATTTATGCACTGGTTTGTTATTTAATAGTAACATTTGGAATAATAAATTAATAAGTAAAGGATATTATTATTTCAGTATGATATCGAAAACTTAGAGAAGCAGTCATTTCCGACCCTTTAAATTATATACATATATTCTTGATCAGCATCCAAAGGCGAATCGATTTAGCCAAGTCCGGTAAAAAATATAAAATTTTTCAAAATTTTTTCATATTTTAAAAATTTTATAAGGGGTTACATCATTAAAATTTTCAAAATTATATAAAATTTGTAATTTTTTAATATCTAAAATTAAGTATGCAGATTTTTAAACCTAATAAAAACTAACACAGAACAGTTTTCCGAATTGAATTGAATGCTTTTTTGACCGAGTTATGCTCAATTTACGATTCGACTTTTAATATTTTTAAGGATATCTTTCTCTACAAAATATATAAAGTTCCCAATAAATATAACATTTCTCTCAGTGCATGTCTATACACCTCTCTTTTCGCACACTGTGTGTGCGTGCTTAGCAGCTTGTTGTTGCTGTTAATGCATTTGGCTTGCTTTACTCGTATTACGTGCATTTGCCGCTTTCAGATACGCAGATACTCGGATGCTCGGATACTCGATGCCGAAAGATACTCGGATGCGTAGATACTTCTCGGCTGCAGATACTACTAAGAAAGAAGCTGCCAACTGGCAGATCTTAAGCGGAATGAAATAAATTAAAGTCAATGCGAGGAAGAAGCATCCGCAGGATACCTTGGTCCTTGCCTGCTTTCTGTGCTGCGTTGCATCTACACCATTGGTGCATTCAACTTCAGCGCCAGATTTTTACTTTCCTCTCTTGCAGCTCCTTGCCCTTGGAGAGGAGCTCTGATTTTAATGGGCAGGGGTATATTTAATCGATCGGAGAGTTGGTTTACACTCAACGAAAATAAATGTTTAAATATTAAGAAAGTGGGGTTTAGGTTTAACAGTTTCAACTAACTTTAAGAAGTAGTTTTAAGGAATTAAATGTGATAAATTGAATGAAATTTGTATATTCACAATAGTATAATTATTTTACATAGTATTTAAAAAAAAATGGTAATGAAACTGTAACTTGATCATTAAGGAAGAAATAAATAAATAATATATAACAATTTATACCGTATTTCTCAAGGTCCTAGCTATTGAAAAAGGTAAGTAATGTGATATCAATAATTTAATTAAATTCTTTTTAAATTTCCCTCCTCTCTCTCTTGTATTACGTTTATAAATAACAATTAAAATATTCATATTATTAAATTTCTTACTGTATTTCTAGTCATTTAGTTGCTATTTTTTTGTTTTTTTATTTTATTTTATTCATTTTTCAAATACTTTAACAGCACCAACTGTCAGATACATTTCTGGTTTCCTTTGCCGTTCTTCTTTTGTATTGTGGCTGCTTGCAATGTGAATGTCCTTTGCTGTCCCCACAAAGGACACGCAGAAAGCGAATAAGCAAGGATACTGAAAGAGACAGAGAAGTGAAAAGTAAAATAAAAATACCAAAATGCACACGAGAAATCGCAGTAAAGTGAGTTTGAGTTTCCTGCGAAGAAGATAGACTTGGCGGATGCCAGCTTTCAAGTATCTAGGACCATGGATCGCGAACTTAAAACCATTCAGAAATTCGATTTAAGTTCTACAGATGGTCCTGGTCCTGCCTGGAGCTCATAGTTTCCTGGGATTTTTTTCTGCACGAATGGGACAGGTCAGTGTCTTGCCTAAAGGGATAGGGGTTTGTTTTTCATA